GGCCGCAGGGTGGCCACCACCGGGGACACTCCCCCCCTCCCCCCATTTCACACGAGTATCACGTGACATAATAAATTTATTGTTATTATTACTCCACTTTATCTTAATCACCTTCTTTGCCTTCCTGGGGGGAGGGGTGATGGGCTTAGCTGGGGAGGGGGTGGAGTGATCATGGGACACCCCGGGGAGCATGTGGCATCCAAAATGTACTGGGAAGTACTGGGAGACACTGGGGAGTACTGGGACGCCCAGGAGAGCATGTGGCATCCCAAACATAATGGGAAGTACTGGGAGACACTGGGGAGTACTGGGACACCCCAGGGAGCAGATGGCATCCAAAGCGTGCTGGGACACGCTGGGGAGTACTGGGATGCACTGGGAAGCCCTGGAAAGTACCAGGACACACAGGAAGCACATGGCACCCAGAACATACTGGGAAGTACTGGGAGACACTGGAAAGTCCCAGGATACCCCAGGGAGCACGTGGCATCCAAACCATACTGGGAAGTACTGGGGGACGCTGGGAAGCACAGGGAACCCAGAACATACTGGGAAGTACTGGGAGACACTGGAAAGTACCGGGACACCCCAGGGAGCAGATGGCATCCAAAGCATACTGGGACACGCTGGGAAGTATTGGGAGACACTGGGGACCCCTGGGAAGCACTGGGGAGGACGTGGCATCCAGAACATACTGGGAAGTACTGGGGGGCACAGGGAAGTACTGGGAGGCCCAGAAGAGCATGTGGCATCCAAAACCTACTGGGAAGTACTGGGAGACACTGGGAACTACTTGGACCCAGGAGAGCACGTGGCATCCAAAACATACCGGGAGACACTGGGAACTACTGGGACACCCAGGAGAGCACGTGACATCCAGAACATACTGGGAGACACTGGGAGACAGTGGGAAGTACTGGGACACCGCGGGAAGGAGGGCGCATGGCAGGGGGGCGAAGGAAGGACACGGGCACAACGGAGGGGAGGGAGAAAGCCGGGGGGGGGACACGACACGACACACCGGGGACAACCCGGGTGGGGGAATGGGACAGGGGACAATCGGGGACGACGAGGACAACGACGACGATGACGACGACACGGGCCCGGCGCCATCAGCACCACGGACAGCGCCCGGTTCGTTCGTCAGCACCACGGACAGCGCCGGGGCGGGGCGGGGGGGGCAC